AATACCCATCATTGTATTCATTCTAAGGAGGTACTTAGAGTGAGATAAAAACGACTCAAAGGAAAGCAAAGAAACCAAGATTCGGTGTCTCTTTTCCCTCTAATTGGATCCCTGGATCTCCTGCTGGAGAGTAAGAAAGGACGTACTCTTACCTACTTGTAAGCAAGGACTCTGCCAATTCTAGCATTACCGTTTTGTCTCAAATGTCAGGGTTGTTAACGATAACAAAAAAATTCATACCATGTAGGGGAGGGCATTCTTTAAACTCTGAAGTTCGTTCTGACACTTTTATTTTTCAAGCTGTTCATAAAGTCACATTTTAAGGGGCCACTCATAGCCTTGCTTATTTCCTTTTTCTTTTGGTTTTGGCTTTTCAGCTGGCATTTGTATCAACTGTGATTGCCAGCATTTGGCGCAGTGGGTGAAGCAAGTCTTGTTTGAAAATCTGCCAGAGGCGGCCTGTGGAAGTTGGTACGACAGGAAGCAGCTTGAGGGGTGGCTGCTTTGTCTCAGTTCTCAAACTCAGAGGGAGGCATCCCTGGCAGAAAGAGGAAGTGGCCTGCATCCCCCACCTCAGCCCTCCAGAAGGTTCCCCTCCCTAAGCAGTTTTCTGCAGAGCTCCTGTGCCTGACAAATGATTGCTTTTCTTGAGATACAGAAATACCTAACTGTGGCCTTGAGGAAGCTGATGAGTAAGCAGAGGATGTTGGCTGACAGAGAGAGAGGAGAGACGTAGCTCCCGAGAGATGGAAAGCTGGAGAGAGGAGCTGTCCCTTCTCTGACTAGTGTTCCTTTTCCCACTTCCAGGCGCCCAGGCTCAGCTGAAACGAAACCAAAAAGGATATCTGGGGTACACCCTGGGGTATCCCAGCAGGATCTAAGACTTCCCCATCCAACAGCAGGATACTATTGAATATTATTGAGAAACCTAGAGAGGCCCAGAGCCTTCAAGAATAGGTAAATCAGTATCCAGGCAACCTGTTAAAGTAGCAAGAGGACGTGGAATACTTCTAAATCAAAAAGTGGTTAAAATATTGTAAAAGAGAGCTCCTGCTTTCCGGTGTTGAAGAATGTTTTTGTATCCCCTTCTCCTCTTGAAACACACACACACATCGTCATCATCATCATCATCATCCTGAAATTTTAGAAACCTGGTGACAAGCAGTAAATCTGTTCCTTTATTCATACCTTCAACAAATCTTCACTGAACGTCTGCTATGTTCTAGGCACAAAGTGCTTGGGGTACATTAGTGAAGCTCTCAAGAGCTTAAGTTCCAATAAATAAGTAAATTCTACGGTCAGCCCTCTGTATCTGCGGGTTCCACGCCCACAGATTCAGCTAGCCTCAGATTAAAAATATTTGAAAAAAATTCCAGAAAGTTCCAGAAAGCAAAACTTGAATTTGCCACGTTCAGGCAACTATTTATATAGCATTTACATTGTATTTACAACTATTTTCACAGCATTTACATTGTATTAGGTATTATAAGAAATCTAGAGGTGATTTAAAGTATATGAGAGGATGTGCATAGGTTAAATGCAAATACTACCCCATTATATACAGTTGAGCATCCATGGATTTTGGTATCTGTGGGTGGGTCCTGAACCAATCCCCTGCAGATATCAAGGCGAGGGATGACTGTACTATGTTAGGAGGTAATAATCAGTACATTTTATACTATGTTAGAAGGTAGTAAGTGTTATGGGAAACAAAAAGGCAAGCAAGGTAAGAAGAACCTGGAATTGCAGGGCTGAAGACTTAAGTTGCAGCGTTGAATGAGGTGGTCAGGGTAGACCTCATTGAGAGGCTGAGAACTGAGCAAAGACATTGGAGGAGGAGAGGGAGTTAGCCAAGTAGCTTAACTGGGGGAAGATATTGGTTTGGGCAGCTCCTTATCTCCTTCAAGGCAGAAGGAACAGCTAAATCAAAAGGATACACAATATGTTTAAGGAACAGCAGCGGAGCCAGTGTGGCTGGATGGGAGAAACTGAGGGACAGGGTGGAGCAGAAAAGTCCAGAGGGGTAGTGGGGGCCAGATTCTGTAGAGCCTTGTGGGTCATTGTAAGGACTTTGGCGTTTACTCTGATTGAAATGAGGAGTGACTGTGGGGTTTGGGGGGGGGGGGGGGGGGTGGTGACGCTGGCTTACGGGATCTTAGATCTCCAGCTAGGGATTGAACCCAGGCCTCGGCAGTGAAAGCACCAAGTCCTAAACACTGGACCACCAGTGAACTCCCTTCTGGTCCACCAGGGAACTCCTTTTTAAAGGATCTCTCCAGCTATCATGTTGAAGAGCCTTTTTTTTTTTTTTTTTGTGGTATGCGGGCCTCTCACTGTTGCGGCCTCTCCCGTTGCGGAGCACAGGCTCCGGACGCGCAGGCTCAGCGGCCATGGCTCACGGGCCCAGACGCTCCGCGGCACGTGGGATCCTCCCAGACCGGGGCACGAACCCGTGTCCCCTGCATCGGCAGGCGGACTCTCAACCACTGCGCCACCAGGGAAGCCCTGAAGAGCCTTTTACAGCAATTCAGGCAAGAGATGATAGCTCAAAGTGGTATCAGAGAATGAGCGATAAGAAGTTGGATTGTGGGTATATTTTGAAGGTAGAGACTCCAGGATTCCTAATGGACTCAGTTGTGGAGTGTGAAAGGAATGGAGGAGTCAAGAATAGCTCAGGCAACAAGGAGCTGCTACCTAGTGGAGAAGGTGATGGGTGAAGCGGGATTTGAGGGGAGAGGTCAGCAGCTCAATGTGGAGCATGTTGAGTTTGAAACGTGCTGTTAGACATCCAAGTGGAGATGTGGAAGAAGCAGTTGGGGGCCTTCCCTGGTGGCCCAGTGGTTAAGAATCCGCCTGCCAGTGCAGGGGACATGGATTTGATCCCCGGTCTGGGAAGATCCCACATGCCGTGGAGCAACCGCAGAGCAACTAAGCCCATGCGCCACAACTACTGAGCCCGCGTGCCACAACTACTGAAGCCTGCGCACCTAGAGCCTGTGCTTCGCAACAAGAGAAGCCACCACAATGAGAAGCCCACGCGGCGCAACAAAGAGTGGCCCCAGCTCAACGAAGAGTAACTAGAGAAAGCCCGTGTACAGCAACGAAGACCCAACGCAGCCAAAAAGTAAAAAAAAAAAAAAAGCAGTTGGATGTATTAATCTGGAGTTCTAGATGGAGCTCTGGGCTGCAGAGAGAAACCTGGGAGTTTTTATCATACAGATGGAATTTAAAGCAACAAGACTGCATGAGATCACCAAAGGAGTGAGTATAGATAAGAGGAACAAAGGCTGAGCCCAGGAGTCCTGTAACATTAAGTGGTCGGGAAAATGAGGAAATGGTGGAGGAGACTGAGCTAGTGAGGCAGGAAAAAAAACCAAGAGAACATTGTGACCCGGAAGCTATGTGAAGGATATTTAGAAGGGGTGATCAGCTGTACCATATGCTGCTGAAAGGTCAAGAAAGATGAGGAAGGTGAATTTACCATTGGATTTAGCAACAAGGAGATCATTGATAAGAATAATAAGAGCAGTTTCTGTGGAGTCATGGGGTAAAAGTCTGATTGAAGTGGGTTCTAAGGGCAAAGGGGAAGAGGAATCGAAGACAGCATATAAAGACAAATATTTTAAAGAGTTTTGCTGTAAAAGGGAGGAAAGAAATACAGCAGTAGCTGGTGAAGGAGCAGGGTTAAGAGAAAATGATCCAGTTGAAATCAATAAATGATTATATAGAGAAAGAGGGGGGGAGAATTGTTGGAGCAATGTCCTTGAGTGGAGAGGAAATCTACTGCACAAGTGGAGAGATTGCTTTAGTGTAAGGGTATGGATTATTTGTCTATGATAATTGGCAGGATAATTATTATGACAGTGCAGGCACTGGAAAGGGGTATATGTGTTAGTGGAAATCTGTGGAAGTTCTAAAAGTCTCCAAGTAGGGAAAAAAAAAAAAAAGAACACGTAACAAAGGATTAGGAGTCAGAATGACTTTGGATTTCTCAGGAACAACACTAAAATCTAGCAGACAAGGGGTCAAGGCCTTGAAAAACCTAAGGGAAGGTAATTTGCCACTTAAGAATTCTACACCCAGGCAAACTATCACTGATTGCCCTCTGGCTTCTGGTAGGGTTGCAAATGTGAGACACTGGCAGGATACCGCAGGGCAGAAAGAGCGGTAACTGCTGTATTCCTTTACTCAAAGCCACGGATCTTGCTGATGGACGCTATTCCTATAGCTAAGAGCGGTTACTGCTGTGTTCCTTTACTCAAAGCCACAGATCTTGCTGATCAACGCTTTTCCTATAGCTGCAGCTCTCTGGATTCTAGCAAACATCCCTTCCTTTTTCCCCTTCAGCCCGAAATCTTCCTGCTGTTGCTAGCCGCATCTCTTCGGATCAGTCACACCTTTGTAAATAGTTCCTTCATTAAGCTTTCATCTGGGCCTTGATTGAATACACAGGTCTCCAAAAATGTAGCCATACACTTTTTTCTCATAAAACTAATGGAGAAAGTTCTCCACTAAGATAAGAAAGAAGACGACACAGGAATGAGGCAAAGAGAATCTGCAGAACAATGGTGAAAGGAGATTCCAGGATGAAATTAGGGATCTCTTTTGTATTACGTACAAAGAACAACCAATTCCAATTGCAGCAGGCGGGACGGCAATGACAGTGCAGGAATTCCACACCCGCTGCGGGGTTTGTGGACCCGACTGAAGAGTGGGAGGGAGCACTGTTCACCTGACACACCCCAGCGCGCCCAGCTGCAGCCTAGGGCTGCGGAGGGGGTGGCCAGAAGCGCTTCAGCCCGCTGAGCTCGGGAAGACAAGGGCTGCAGGACGGCGGCCCGCCGGGCCACCTGCGCACGCGCGTTCCCCCCCCCCACCGCCGGCCGGTGGCCTGCTGCGCACGCGCAGCTCGCCATCTCTCGCTCTGTCAGTCCCTGCAGTGCCTGGGCCCCACCCCCGCAGGCCCCGCCCCGCTGCCGTGCGCCGAACCCTGCATATCCGGGTTCTCGCCTCCGCCTCCGCCGCCGCCGCCTCCGCCTGCGCCTGGCTCATTCAGCTTTGCTGGGACCGGTGTGTTCCCGACTAAGATGGCGGCTGTGGGGCGAGTCGGCTCTTTCGGTTCCTCTCCGGCGGGATTAACCTCGACTTACACGGGCGGTCCCTTGGCCAACGAGCTAACCTCGGGCAACGGCGGCGCCGCGGCAGGGGACGAAGAGGACGGGCAGAACCTTTGGTAAGGACCGCACCCTTCCCCGGTCCCTGCCGGCACCCCCGGGCCGGGGACGCCCCGGGGTCGCGTGCCCGCCGGAGCTCGGCGCCCTGCCCAGGCCGCCGCGTTCTCGGCCGCCCCCGCCCGGGCGCGCGAGGCTGGTGCCGTTTCTCCCGCGCGGGGCTCCAGCCTGAGCGTGCGCCTTGTTCCCCGCCAGGTCCTGCATCCTCAGCGAGGTCTCCACCCGCTCGCGCTCCAAGCTCCCCGCGGGGAAGAACGTGCTGCTGCTGGGTAAGTGCCCCCACCTGCTCCGCCCTGCGCGGCCCCCCAGCGTGGCCTGGGTCTGGGTCCGCCCGCCACTCTCTGGCTCGCTTTGTGCGGACAGCCGGGGCTGCCTCCGCCCCGCCGCCCGACCTGTGGCTGACAGCTGGGGGAGAAGGAGAACAGGGACCCCTGCCCCGGGACCTGCAGGGACCCGCCCTCCCCGGAAAGTTTCTCCTCTCCTGGGTGTGTGGGGTTGGCCCCGACAGCTTCCTTCGGGAAGGACAATGCGATAGCCCATCTGAGAGATTCTAGTGGCTTGGGGTTTACCTGGAATATAAGGACGTTTTTTCTTTCATGACAAAAATTGGTAGCAGGAGGCTCTTCGCGACAGCTCCAGTGCAAATGGCATGCCATCAATATTTAATAGCCGGCTCTTTGTATAATTTACAGAAGCTAGAAATGAGGCCTGGTGTAGTCGTGATAAATGTAATTATTTGATTCAGCTTTTACGGGTACAGTGGGCTCGTGTTGCAGCTGTCTTTTTCACTGTCAGTTATAATTCTGAAATTTGTAAAGTGCAGTAAACGTTTACCTTTCTCGTTCAGTCCCTTCGGCCTGATGGGTGTAATAATGAGAAATGGTCTGTCTCAAATCTCCTGATCTATATTCCCTCTGCTCTCTGGAAGTTATGTATTTTGTTTCTTTACTGACTCTGGGGGTGGACGTGGAGAACAATTCACAGGTTCACATTTTTGCAGGCTTAGCTCCAAAGTAACTTAGAGATTTCTTTCATATTCTTTAGATGTGAAAATTTGAAGTTTGGCTTATAGGATGCTCGTTGAATTTTAAAACTTTGGTTTTGGTGTCTCAAGACTTTTTAATGTTCATTTAAAAACAGGAAGGAAAACAAAGAAGTCAAATGATACTTGTCAGGTCCGCTTTTAATGGGAATGTTTAGATAGAAACACATTATTTTTCATGAACTCTTGACAGTCTACTTTTGGTTTTGGTGTCTCAAGACTTTTTAATGTTCATTTAAAAACAGGAAGGAAAACAAAGAAGTCAAATGATACTTGTCAGGTCCGCTTTTAATGGGAATGTTTAGATAGAAACACATTATTTTTCATGAACTCTTGACAGTCTACAGTATATGATTCTTGGCGAAAGTTACTG